CGAAGTTAACCTTATTATAGACAATAACACAACGTTCACGTGAAATATTAAAGGTTTTTTTTTGTTCCCGCCACTGAAAGTAAAGAGGAACTATGACCTCGGGTGTAATTCACAAATTTTTCAACATTCCACGCAAAATTAAGTACCCCAAATCATAATCAGAGTGGAACGAGCGATAGATCATGCTCAAGCACTTTTCGCGACTTTTAATAGGGTCATGCTATATGCCTACTCAATGGCAACCCTAGTGGGGATTATCAAAGTACTCAGGCAAAAAACATTATTTGATGAAGTACCAAGAGACTTTTAATTTAGTAAAAAAACGAGTTTAAAACACTTTACTTGATCGATACAGCAGTATATCTTCTGATGAAATTTGTTTAGTGACTATTGGTGCCCTACAATGTTTCTTTACTGAAGTTTCAAATAATCAATCAAATAACATTAACAGAAGAACAAAAAAACTAGAATTTTTTTTTCTGATAATTTCGGTGAGATTTATCTCAAAATAAGAAAAACTAAATCAAATAAAACAAGAACAAACTCCTGGCTTTAGCCATATAATGACATCACTTTACTGTAGGGTGCAAATAACGAACGATTATTGAAAAATAGAGGAAAAATTGAAAACAAAAACATAAAAACTGCGATATCTCAAAAACTACGAAATTTTGAGGAATTTAATTTTAACACCCGAGTCGCAACCTTCAATAGAACTTAGATTATCGTTAAACGAAAGGTTTGTAGAGGATCGTACTCAATATGTTTTTTTTTCGATAAACAATTGAGGTTTACAGAAAAATAGAGAGTTCAACCACAAATAAGTAGACCCTGCTGAATTATAGGCTTAATAATACAATTATAGTATATGAGTAAAACAGAACTCAGTAGAAAACGTCGCATTTTTGTAATGATGCCACTATATCTACCCAAATTAGATCATAATTTAATGAAATGATCGCCGACGTTAACCATATTATAGACAATAACACAACGTTCACGAGAAATATTTAGGGTTTTTTTTTGTTCCCGCCACTGAAATTAAAGAGGGACTATGACCTCGGGTGTAATTCACAAATTTTTCAAAATTCCACGCAAAATTAAGTACCCCAAATCATAATCAGAGTGGAACGAGCGATAGATCATGCTCAAGCACTTTTCACGACTTTTAATAGGGTCATGCTATATGCCTACTCAATGGCAACCCTAGTGAGGATTATCAAAGTACTCAAGCAAAGAACATTATTTTATGAAGTACCAAGAGACTTTTAGTTTAGTGAAATAACGAGTTTAAAACACTTTACTTGATCGATACAGCAGTATATCTTCTGATGAAATTTGTTTAGTGACTATTGGTGCCCTACAATGTTTCTTTACTGAAGTTTCAAATAATCAATCAAATAACATTAACAGAAAAACAAAAAAACTAGAATTTTTTTAACTGATAATTTCGGTGAGATTTATCTCAAAATAAGAACAAACTCCTGGCTTTAGCCATATAATGACATCACTTTACTGTAGGGTGCAAATAACGAACGATTATTGAAAAATAGAGGAAAAATTGAAAACAAAAACATAAAAGCTGCGATATCTCAAAAACTACGAAATTTTGAGGAATTTAATTTTAACACCCGAGTCGCAACCTTCAATAGAATTTAGATTATCGTTAAACGAAATGTTTGTAGAGTATCGTACTCAATATGTTTTTTTTTTCGATAAACAATTGAGGTTTACAGAAAAATAGAGAGTTCAACCACAAATAAGTAGACCCTGCTGAATTATAGGCTTAATAATACAATTATAGTAAGTGAGTAAAACAGAACTCAGTAGAAAACGTCGCATTTTTGTAATGATGCCACTATATCTACCCAAATTTGATCATAATTTAATGAAATGATCGCCGACGTTAACCATATTATTGACAATAACACAACGTTCACGAGAAATATTTAGGGTTTTTTTTTGTTCCCGCCACTGAAAGTAAAGAGGAACTATGACCTCGGGTGTAATTCACAAATTTTTCAACATTCCACACAAAATTAAGTACCCCAAATCATAATCAGAGTGGAACGAGCGATAGATCATGCTCAAGCACTTTTCACGACTTTTAATAGGGTCATGCTATATGCCTACTCAATGGCAACCCTACTGAGGATTATCAAAGTACTCAAGCGAAAAACATTATTTGATGAAGTACCAAGAGACTTTTAGGTTAGTGAAAAAACTATTTAAAAAAAATTTACTTGATCGATACAGCAGTATATCTTCTGATGAAATTTTTTAAGTGACTACTGGTGCCCTGAAATGTTTCTTTACTGAAGTTTCAAATAATCAATTAAATAACAATAACAAAAGAACAAAAAAAACGAGAATTTTTTTAACTGAAAATTTCGGTGAGATTTATCTCAAACTAAGAAAAATTAAATCAAATAAAATAAGAACAAACTCCTGGCTTTAGCCATATAATGACATCATTTTACTGTAGGGTGCAAATAACGAAAGATTATTTAAAAATATACGAAAATTGAAAACAAAAACATAAAAACTGCGATATCTCAAAAACTACGAAATTTTGAGGAATTTAATTTTAACACCCGAGTCGCAACCTTCAATAGAACTTAGATTATCGTTAAACGAAATGTTTGTAGAGGATCGTACTCAATATGTTTTTTTTTTTCGATAAACAATTGAGGTTTACAGAAAAATAGAGAGTTCATCCACAAACAAGTAGCCACTGCTGAATTATTGGCTTAATATTACAATTTTAATATGTTAGTAAAACAGAACTCAGTAGAAAACGTCGCCGTCGCGTTTTTGTAATGATGCCACTATATCTACCCAATTTTGATCATAATTTAAAGAAATGATCGGTGAAGAGGAACTATGTCCTCGGGTGTAATTTATCAATTTTTCAAAACTCCACGCAAAATCAGGTATCACAAATCATAATCAGAATGGAACGAGTGATAGATCAAACTCAATCACTTTTCACGACTTTTAATTATTTTCAAAACGTTGTTCCAGTGTCGAGAAAAGCCGGTTTAAAAATCTCTCATTTCCAAAGCTTCATTTGGCTATTCGCACAAAAAAACTTATTTCAAATTTTGAAAAAAGCTCTACAAAAAACATTTTTTGAAATTTTAAAAATATTTATTCTGTTTTTCATAATTCAAATACAACTGTAGTCGATTATTTTTTAATTAGTTACGTGCTAAACGTTGGTATAGTCTTCTCATCACAGCACGAATAACAAAAAACAAAATAAGGCAACGAGGATTGATTGTTCTGTGGTAAGTGTTTAGTAGCCGGAATGTCTGATTCAAAAAAACTTGTAAGTAAAATTAGGGAAAAATCTTCGGTGATTTTCGCATAGCAAAATTTAATTTAAAGTGGACCTGAACTTGAATTTTTTCTCATAATCAGGAAAACTTTGGGAGTAAATATTAAGGAAACAAATTAAAATTCTCCACGATTCTGATTGGTTGAAACTTACAACTTAGAATCAAGTTAAGATCCTCCACCCATCCTCTGAACTGCTTTGGGGGATGCCACCTCGGTCCCATTTAAGCTCCAGAGTACTGTCAACTTAATGTTTTAAAGTTTTTTCTTGTTTTATACTTAGTTTCACACATCAATTTATTGAATCAGGGTGTTCATTTTCGCCACACAAATTCAGATACTACAAACAAACAACTGTAGTCGAATATATGATCAAGTTAAAACCTTTTTAATCGTCATACCAGCTGTAATCAAATCTTTCACTTCGTTTTCCCAGTAACGAGAAAACATGGCATGGAATTTTCAACTGTTTGACTATTGGTTAGTTACATTGCCAGACACGCCAGAAACCAAAAGTTGTGTTTTCAACAACTAATTAAATTGAAATAATATCTTATATGCATTCTCACTGTTGAAAATAAAATTGGCAGCAATTTAACCCAAATTATCAGCATATGCAGCCGGGAAAAAAAGAAGCACGAAAAGTTAGAATGGCAAAAAACAATTTCAGAAGAATTTCTTCGAGGAGTTGGAAGGACATATTTGCTATGTTTTATTTCTTACAATTTCAGGCATCTCAACGCAAAATCAGAATTGATCAAATATGACATCATTTTGAGTCCTTTCTAGCTGTGACTCAAATTTCAAAATGGGACTGTTGAAAATTTCAACTTAATTTTGATTTTTTGATCTTCAGAATTGTTTACTAAGAGATGAGTAAATGACTACAGAGGGAGTGGCCAACAAATCCGATTTAGTTATTGTTTCTTTAGATTAGTTGAGCTATTATTATCTTATTCTTCTAGCTTAAATCTAAGCCCCGCCTCCAACATAAAAACTTTATAAGAAAAAAAAACTAAAAATTGATTCCAAAATTTAGTTTTTTTTCCAAAACCAACTTTCGTTCGGAACATTCTGAAATTTTTGCATAGCAGCCGAATAACTTCGTTAATAGACAACTTTTTGCATCAATTTGGCATAGGTATCAAAATTTTGAGTTATAATGGGACAAACAATTGTGGAATTGACAGACAAGAAAAAACCAAATGAACCAAATTAAAATTTTAGAGACATAATACCTTAAGACCATTCTACTTTCAATGAGGGGATTAAAAGACGAACTGAATGGCTGGCATTGCTTGGTCTAATTCGAATGACCGCAAGTCCGATTTCTGAAATATTTTATGGGATTTCTGTCTAACGACGACCTATTGTCTGAAAACTAAATAAAGATACAAATAAAATTAAAAAGCCCTTCAAATTAAAGTTTATTATTCATGTTTTTCATATTACTGAGTATATCAGAACTGTAAAAACTGAATTGCAAAAAAATGCCCAAAAATACTGATTTTGGGCATTTTATTTGAGTGATTTATACACAAAAGCAGAGAAATATTTTTAATTGCAGCGCTTAAACGCCGCATATTGAAAACTTCAAAAAATTGAAAAACGTTTCAAGAGAAACAAAACACACTTAATCTTCTGATAAACTTTACAGTTCACGTATAATTTTAAAAAATATTTGATTACTTTTTTATTACATAAAGCGTAAAACTGCACAAATACTTTCAAAAGAAATGCATTGAACCAAAAAGTCTACCATTCCTTTAAGCAGAAATTTTAACATTACCATCGAACAAAATTCATTAATTCAAACACCATTTGAATAAATGCTGCAAGTCGCGTCACAGCCAACAAAGGTAAGCGAAGTTATTGAATCACGAAAGACTAGAAAATAGTTGACACAGCTTGTTTAGAATGATAACTACAAATCAGCAGAACTGAGCCAAAAAAGACACACCAGCTTCTGATTATTTACCAAAATAAAATAAACCACAAACATATTAATAACTTAAATTTCAATTACGCCTTGTTACGTGTAACATACATTTATCAAGAACTTCTGCGATTATTTACGGCTTTCAAAACAACGAAGTTTGGCCATAGAATCCAAAAACATCAACTTGTTTTGATTGTTCATTACTTTTATACGCTCAATCTCTATTTTACGGAAACTTGATTTTTCATCAGCATCATAATTATTTGTATTTCATTTTCAAAACAAATAATTAAAGCTTTAGTTTTATCGAATTGAAGTGTTTTATCTGGTTATCGTGTTTATTATTTGAATCAATTCATTCCTGTTATCAACATTATCGAAAAAAACAACCCATTTTTTTGACGTAATCGAAAAAAAAACACTTGGCGTGTCAAAATGAGCTCATCTGGTGAAGCGAAATCATCAACAGAAACAACAACAACAAAACCAACAACAACAGCCACGCGCAAGAGTACTTCTTCTTCCGGTGTGTTGGACTATGAGGAGTACAAAAGGAGAGTGATCGAGGAAGAGAGATTGAAGAGGCGGAGGAGGACTTCCCACGATATCCCCCCTTCCAGCCGAAGTCCCAACGAGGGTGACCGACTTAGGGGGGCTCATTTAGAAAAAAAATAAAGAGCAAAATGTGCGTTTTAGGGTTTGAAACGCACATATACGTTGTCCGAACGTCTTCGCCCATCATATTTAGCAAAAAAAAATCAATTTATCAACAAGACATTTGGACAGCAGATATGTGTTTCAGGTGAAAAACAACAAATAAAAAGTTTTTAGACATAAAAAAGTTGAAAAAACTCGACGCGTTGAATTTCGGACAGTAGAGATAAAAAAGAGAAAAAATAAGAAGTTTGTTGACACAAAAAATATTAACCATTGGAGGCTTTTCAAGTTTGAAAAAAAACAAAGAAAAATAGTTGAAATAAATTTATTCGCTTTTATGTTCCGTTTTTAACGGCTCTTTAGACTTCCGTAATTTATGAAGGTTTGGCTGTTAAACGTGGAGAGTAAAAAATTCAACGCGCAGAATGGGCGAATTATCAATACTATTAAGACACCCCCTATAACTCAAGACTGTGTCCATTTCAAAACAAACAGTCTGCAAACCTTCACAAAAACTTCAAAAACTGGTGTGAATTCTCTGAAAATCAATAGAAGTATAATTTAGTTCAAACATGAGCCAAAATTTGGCAAAATAGAACTTGAAGCGCGATAGCGTTGCTTGTTTAGACCACAATTCCACTCCTAAAAGTTAAATATAGAGCCTTAAAGTTACATGTTTCTATAGAGTACATTTTCGAGGGGTTAAATAAATTGGAGCTAAATTTGCATATTTTGAGAAATCAGATGAAATTTTACTTAAATTCAGATTTTGTTGATTTCGAATGAGAAAAAAGCATTTATAACTAGTTGACCACTCTGGGTCCAAAAAAAATAGACGAAACTAGTCCGACAGATGCCAAAAACGAACACGTGGCCAATTGGCTGACAGCCAACGGGAAAAACAACCAGAAAAAGCAACACTTCGAAAAGACAGTCAGTGAAATTGACAGAATAGTTGAAGAACTGAAAATGAAAGGAGTTCAAGAACCGACCAAACGGTATCACACAAACAAACTTCAGGTGTACCTTTATTAGTCCTAAAATTACAAACTCTTGAAATTTTAACAAAAATGATATTAAAAAAAACTATAAGATCGTTTCCTTTTTCGGTTCAATCGAGTTCCATATTTCATAGCCGATGTTTAGTTGTTGAAAATGAGCTATGAATTTTGCTAGCAAAAAAAAGAGTCTTAAAAAGCATTGGCACCATATTTTTATCAATAGATCACAAATCTACTCGTAAAACTAATTTGATTCGTTTATTGTGCGAATAAATTTTTTGTAAGCACAATTGGAAATAAATTCATAACTAGAAAGAATTGCCCATATAAATAAAATTGAGTCTCAAGTTTGTTTGATCCGCTTGAAGCGACCACCACTCTGATTCACTCTCACCGACCGGCAAGAACAAAAAACACGGCAAAGATAAACACAGTGTAAACAACAACAACAACTTGAAGGGCATTCTGAAAGACTCTGAAGACCCATTGCACTTGGCACTGGCAAAAGAGAATTTGATGAGAGACGAAAACGGGCAAGATATTTCCGAAGAGGACGAGGAACTTTCAGGTGAGTTTTTTACATAAAAGATTTAATCAGACGAGTATCTTGTTAAGGGGTACCGCCCGTTACATCAATTCTGCTAGCCAACAACATCCAGTTTTGGTTGATTAGCCCTCAAAGTGTCCCAAAAATACCGACATTAATTAAAATTAGAGGAGAGCGCGCCGCAAATTGAACTTTTTTGGTCAAAATTTTCTAAAAAAGCCTTACAACATCATTTTAGCCTGTTTTTTTGTATAAATCTTCCTGCGGCGCAGAAATTTTGACAAAATTGGGTTTTCATGTTAACATCAGAATGACTCTAGTTAAACATTTTCCATAAGTGGAATTTTTACTACGTTTTACAATCAAGCTTGATAAACTGTTGAAACGTTCACTTAAACGACGAATAAGTTGATGAAGCTCATTTAATGACTCTCTTTTTATTTCCATTTTCCCTTTTTCAGAATTGTATTTTTCAAATACGCTATTTTCTAAAATTTAAGAATGCGAAATCAACAAATCAACTAAACTTACTAGAAAACTAAATTTACTTTTAATCATTTTGCAGAATCCTATTTTAAAAAAAAACTATATATCGGAATGTCATTTTCACACTCGTTTTATTTTAAACTATGGTGAATTGAATTGCAATGTCAATGAAATTAGAATTAACTTTTCATCTTGTTTCAAAATCGTTTTTTTTTAAATATATCGGAATGTGATTTTCACAATCGTTTTATTTTATACTATGGTGAATTGCAATGTCAATGAAATTAGAATTAATTTTTCATCCTGTTTCAAAATCATTTTTTTAAAAACATATCGGAATGTGATTTTGACAATCGTTTTATTTTAAATTATGGTGAATTGAATTGCAATGTCAATGAAATTAGAATTAACTTTTCATCATAATTCAGAATCAGCAGAAAATTTATCGCTTGAGGATTCGAAGAAGAAATGGAATGAGGCGCAGAAGACACGCTACGTGAGGGCGAAACAGCCTCGCAATGTGGAGACAACACTGACTAACGAGGAGATATTTGACAAGAGGACACCTGTGGACAAAGAGAGTAATGGCTGGTGGAAGAGTTACTGCCAACAGGCCAGTCATGTCCAGTTTGACACCCATGCAGCACAAAACACACAAAAAATATATTACGATTCGCAAAAAATAGTATTTTGAACCATCAAAAAAACTTGATTTACGTTAAACAATTTTTGATTTACGTTAAAACATTTTTGATTTACGTTAAAAAATTTGATTAACTTAGAGTAAATTTTTGATTAAAGTTAATAAAAAATTTTTGATCCTCAGAAAAAAGTATTTTCATATTTAAATTTTAAAAAATTGGTCCACGGAAAAAAAATCTCGTCGTCATCGTAAAAAATACTTGGTTCACGTAAAACAAATTTCAATTGATCTAACGTAAACGTAACGTTTTCATATGATGAAATTGCATACAATTAAATTCAAATAGCTCACTCAGTCAAACATTTGTAGATCCGCATTTGCAAATGGCGTCGTTTACAATTAACGAACACGAACAATATATAATACAACTGGACATCACTTTGACAGGCCCCTCAGCCGAAGTCGCCGCCTGGAGCAAAGTCCCCCCAAGGTCCACAAGGGGGGCGTACGTATCGCGGAGCAGGAAATCGACGTCAGAGCATGTTTTAACCTCGAACTGATTTTTTTTATTCTGGACTTATAAAACTGTAAACTATACAGAAGCAACTAACTTAGTTACGAAATGCTTAGTTTGAACATATTGTGAAAAAGTTGTAACTTAAAAATCTGTAGAAGCTGTAAATTCTGAGTAACAAAACGTCGATGAAACTTTTTATTAGTAGATTGTTAGATGGCAAATTACCATATCTGTTTCCAGTTATGTATTCTATCAGATAATTTACCTCATTTATTTTCTAGTACCACTCGAAAAAAAATAATCATATTATATATTAAATGTATTCCGATTTAGATTAATAAATTTTACCTGTAAAATTGATTTTTTTTCCAAGTCAACTTTGTTTCGTGCCTATATAAACATAATGCTCAAAAAAGCAGAAGATACGAAACATTAAGAAAATCATCAACAGTTTTGGCACTGTAAGTCTCAACAAATCATAGTTTCATTTTTCAGTTGATAATCGCAGGTAGAAAACCAACCCCGAAATCTTCTCACCACAACAACTTCAAGCTTGCAATTTCGTCTTAAGTTTTCATTTCAAATTTCTGAGGGTGTTTTACTCCATCAACTCCAATTGACATTTATTAATTGTACAAAAATTTGTGGATTAAAAACCAAACTCAGTTCCAATTTTCGTGCAAAATTTGACGGCCCGATATGATTGGAATATTTACACAGAAGCGAAGCTGAGCTTCGCACCACTTACGATACAAATATGAATGACAATGAAAAAAAATGCTATAGAAGCCCAAAATATCCGGAACAAAATTGCCTCCACCATTAGAAACTCTGGGAGCTTTGGGAATGCTATACAGAAGACAAAAAATAGACATTTCTGTGGAGCTAAGCAGACAGAAATAAACAGACGGACAATCTAAAATAGCCAAAACTTTCTATTTGCAAGAAAAACAGGTCTCAAATGGAATCGAACCCCCGGGCTTTGTCGTCTTAAGCATGGGGGTTACAGCAACTTGGAATAAAGCTGAACCATCGAGCTACGGGAACTAAGCCGACAAAAACAGACGGAAGATAATCCGGAAAAGCAAGAAAGTGCCCGGCCGGATTGGAATCGCAAATTTTTGCCATCTCAAGCATCTGCCTTACCTATACGCCAGATGCACCGCTCGGTTGATTGGTTTCGAGTTTAAAATTAACAAGCGGTAACAAAGCCGAATAAATCTGATCATAAATTTTTCATGCTGAAAGAAAGTCAGAAAAAATTCTTAACTTATAAAAATGTTCCTTTCCCCTCAGAGCTCACAAGCGCGCAAAATATATTTTTGTTTCGAGCCAATAGGTTGATATTATTTACGCCGAAATATGTTAAGCCGATAAAAAAAAATGTGGAAAGTGAAAATTTAACAAATCGAGCTGGTAAAATTACAAGCAATGTGAAAAACAAATCTAGATTCAGCCGCATTTTTAAAACGCTTAAAACACCACACTTAAAATTAATTAACGCTAAAATAAACTATTTTTAGATGTGGCAACTAAGTCGACAACGCATAAGCTGACAATTAATAGACCGAAACTTTTTGAACCGGAACAATTACCGTTTGAAAAAAATGGGGCTGGACAGATTCGAACCGCTGACCTATGCCCTCCCAGAAGTATTGGTTACCACCAGGCTAAGTGTACGTGAAAAAAGTCTAGGACCCAATTGCAATACCCTTGCTATCGCAAGGGCAATCATAAGATGAAAAGTTCTATGTGCAAAAATAGTTCAAATTAATAGTTCAAATATTTTCGCCGAAGTTTTCATGAGTGTCTGCAAACAAGTCTCCAAGAAAACTAGAAACACTTTGGTTTATAAAGTTTCTTGTTCTTTTTCAGCACTAAAGATGCTTTTAGAGCATATAATTCAAAAATCGGGTCACTAGCAGACTTAAAATTATTCGATTGAGTCAGCGAAACTTCATTTAGTTCAAGAGTAATGTGGAGAAAAACAAGCTATTATTTTGAATTTCTTCGCAACACCAAATATAAACTAAACCCTAACACCAGAATTACACTATTATAATAAACTCCGTGAAAGATTCAATATCGAATCCCTGCCCCCGTCAACATGACCTCACGCCAAAAAACGCTTCGGAAAAACACATCAAGCTCCACGTGTTTTAAAACTCTGGGAAAAATTAATCACCTTGTTTCCATTACCATGCATTGGTAAATAAGGCATGGTCACAGGGGCGGATCTAGGATTTTCTCGCCTTAAGAATAATTTTAGGGTCGGTCGGTCAAAAATGGATTTCTGAAAAAGTATCAAAGGGGGGACTGGAGTTTGTGATAAAAATCCTGCCAAATTTGTTCACGCACGGAAACATTTTTCAGTATTTTGAAACAAAAAAGCATGATTGTCAGATAATACACATGAAAAACATTCACAGCGTTGGTTAATGCATTTATAAGACGAAATTACTTTTCTTTTTCCCTTTTAGTCACCAAAAAAAGTACTTTTTCCGACAAAAAAAAATACTTTTTTTCCGCTCCCTGCTATTGAAAATATCTATTTAAACCCGAATTCGATTCTGGATAAAATTAAACTGGACAGGGTAAAACTATACACTTTCATAAAATACACTGAAATTGATTACTTGTTACGAAGAGAGAGAAGAGTCTCGAATCATAAAAACCATCTTGTCAACTAATTCTCCATTTTTATCTTCAATTTTAGCCTCGACAAGGAAATGTAAACTGTTAATCAGCGGTGCAGTGAAGCTGACAGCGGCATCCTCTCCAAATGGTACCAAAAAAGAACGTGAATAATCAGATTTAACATTTGAACAATGCAATAAAGTTAAGCTTCTTGTTGAAAGCGACCATATTATGAGAACGTCGTATCTAATATGAGAAATACAGCTGATGTGTTTAACACAGTGGGTGCTGAATTTGATAATAGAGACATGACTAGGTGAGATATTACGATATCCAGTATTAATTTCGACTACATCATTGTTGTGATCCACAACATGGACAACAGTATGTGGATGACATGTGCTGACAACCCGGGGCAGAAATTCGCATCTGTGCTGTAAAGATGACTCATTCGATTGTCTGAGTTGCTTGTCATTTCTATCCCAAAATATGAATTGCGCGAGATTGTCTCTTAATCCCACAAGAAATAACGGAACATGATGTGGTTTCAGATTTAATTCGATATTTTGGAAACTGCTTTTTGCTATATCAAAAACATACGAACAAGCAGGCGTCACGATTATAATTTTTCTAGCAGGGAAATAATCTTCGTAAAAAAAAGCTTGTATTTCGTTTTTTCCTTCAAGAGTTTCCTTTGTCGCTAGCTTGATTTTCTTCATTTCAATGGTTCTTTCGTTCTTCATAGAGTCGAAAAACATTCTATTTACAGAAATCTTATTTTCCTGGATTCGTACACAGTAAATATTGTCAGTAAATTGCTTCCCAGGTCTTTCTGAATACACGTAGCACTCGTCAGTACACTTCGGCGATAACTTCTGGCATTTCAAGCGCTTCCAGATAATTGTCCATAACTAAACGTGCAGCCTGTTCTGAAACTTTGTAATCTACTCCCTTAATTTCAAACAACTCCAGCTCCGCTTCTTTCGATTTGACCCGCGATACCGATTTCTCTGTTTGCTTGAACTGTTCAACCATTATTCCATCCGAGCACGACAACAATTCTCGAAGACTCCCTTGGCATTTCAATAGTGTTTCGTAGTTTTCCTCTGCTTCTTGTTCTATTTTAACAATTTTTTCATGTTCGGAGCCAATCTGATTCAACACTTTTTGTTTAAAGGCATCGATTTGAGAACTAACAGTTTCCACTAACTTGGCATAATTCTCTGCCCGTTTTTCTTTGCCCTCGTGGATTCTTTCCTGAGTTCCACGGATTTTTTTATCGCACGAATCTAACTCTGAAATTATCTCGAACACTTTCGACCTGACCTCGCCTGCTCGTTTTTCAATAGACATAACACTATGGTTCGTGTGTAGAGAAATACAATTTGAGCACATAATTACGTCGCAGCTACAACAATAGATACAGCATATGTTTTTGTGGTCTTCGCATATGGCCGGCTTTTGTTGTTTGTCGTTTACAATTTCATGACCTCTTCTAACGTGTGACACAATACATAAATCACAGAAGACAGCAACTGTAGTCTCAGATCCATCCATACAATTTGTACACTTGAACATTTTTTCGAGCTTGAAATGCTCGGAACATGATTCACATTTGCCTTCCGTTGGTTTATCGAAAGTCTCAGACTTGCAATCACCGTCTGATTCTACTAAATTCTCATCCATTTAGAACACTGAAACAGAAACTTCCACTTCAAGTTCAAATACAACTACTTATAACTAAAACAAATATAACTATAAATGCCATTTTCTACTAGAGGCGTTCCAAACGAGAAGAAAAGAAGAGCGATCTGTAACGGTTCAGAATACGAACGACGCTTTCATTTGAAAAGCTCAAAAAGTCAATAGTGATGGACACATAATATGAGTTTTTTAT